TCCCTTTATTAGCAGAAACAGCCATTAAGTGAATAAAAGTGGCAGAGAGGGAATAACTGCCTGTCTGCGGCAACTCTCTGTTCATCATAAACAAAAGCAAGAAACCTCTAATTACCTTTTAAACAGCGGAGGGGAGATATAGAAAACCCTATTAGCTGAGAACTGACCGGGCTGGGCACATCAGTTCTCCATGGCAGCTAAGAAAGCAAGCCAGTGCTACAGTGAGGGATTCCCCAAAGATCAACCCTCCTTCTGCTATGGATACAAGCAGTCTGGTAAGAATGCCGTGAGGAAGAACCTAGTACGAGCAGCAGGAAAAGCGGCCATCAAAAAGACTAATCACGATTTCCCAAATACAATTCAGAGAAAGTAGCTTTCTAGAGGACACAAGCACAGGGAATGCCAAGAAGACTCAAGGCAACTGTTGCTTAAGCGGAAGGCCAGTACTCTGTCCCTCCCTTGTCAATCACAAGCACCTCTCACCAAAACGTAGCCAAAGGTAAACAGGGTTTACCCACCTGTAATTTGAGCACTGCTGCAGTTACTCATTTATCACCACTCAGCCTGGACCACTAAACAAACAGGTTTGCCTGATTTCCTCTGGCTTAGCCAGAGATAATTCTGAAAACACCAGGTTAAGAACAAAGCAGTTCAACATCACACAGATGGGTGCTAATCGCTAGCGCAAACTCCAGCTTCTACCCAGCATCAGGCCCACAGCTAGGAAGAACACTAATAAATTGAAAAGGCAAAAAAAACAGTACTATGGATCAGAACGGATGAAGGAAACGCTGCTTACCCTGAAGAAAGAAGATGAGAAAATAGACAAAGTACAGAGATGAGTCCTGGAGAAGGTGACCTGAATTACAGCAGTTCATGGGGCGGTACCCTCGGAGGGTCACCCTCCAAGTACATAATTAGTGCCAGGCCTGAGAAAAAAAACACTGTTACTAAGTTAATGCAGCCAAGGGGAGAGGGGGGATCTTGGGAATTGGGTGGACAGGGCACAGAGGGTACATTTTCTTTCTTAATATAGAAGGAGCAATGATGGAAGAAGCAGACTTTCCTCACCCACAGCCCAGTCCTGGCGAAAATCAAGAGAAGCCACTGTAGAGATCAACTCAGATCATCACTGCTGCTTTGGTAGAGTGGTAAGGTCTGAACAGTGAAGATAGCTTCCAAGGAAAAGCAGTTTTTTTTTTTAAAAGGTGAAGAACAAAGGTGTTTCCCCATCCCCCCTTCTTTCCCCTCACCCCCTCCACCCAAATTAAGTGCAAACATTCAACCCCAACACACTGAATTCTGGCTATCCTTTGTGTGGCTGAACGTGCCAAATTTATGCTAATCTACACAGAATAATATTATTCCCATTATGCAGTATATCATCTGTAAAAATTAAACAAAATACAGAATTAAAATAGATGGAAGATGAACAATAAAGGGACTAGTATCGAAATTGTTAAAGTTTAGTCTAAAAAAACATATTTTTTTCTAAAACTACATATATAACCACGTATTTGAAAACTTTGTTCTTCACTTTTAAGGCCATGCTATATTGAAAAGGCCTGTAGCTTGAGTGAGGCTGTGCTGTCACATCAGAGTACACCTGGAAGGAAGCAGCAGATGTGGGAGGGGGGAAAAAGAAGTGTGTAGCCTGGAGAGTTCAGAAACTATCTCCACTGAAGAGGAAGGAAACACAAGTTAGATGAAGGGGAGGGGGGGAAACATTAAAACACACCAACTGTGAAGAAAAGACTGGGAACAGATTTTGCTTGTAAACCGGAACACTAACAGCTGCCCTTACACTTCACCACAGTTAATGAAGGCTTTCATAATTGTCTTAGTAGTCAAAATGAGCATATCCCCACATGATATATATACACACACAGATATATTTAATCAAAAGATAGTGATTGATAAGCCACAATAATATATTCCTTTAGGCAGAAGTTATATAATACACTGTTTAAGAACACAAATTTAAGGTCAACAAGCCCTCAAAATCATAGCCTCCAAAGTTGCTAGCGTAAAAATACTGAATGTTTATGAGGACATACAAGTTCCAGAGAACTAGTTATATACAGTTCATTATAGAGTTATAGTTAAAATGTAACTGTGTTAAAAAAAAAAGAGAACAAAACCAGAAAGCACACACACTTACTGTGTCTGTGCTATTCCTGAAAACCTGGCAGTCTGTTATTCCTAACAAGTAACTTAAAGTACCTTCATCTACAGAGCATCTTGCACCCAAATCTATGCTTAAATTATCAAAAGGCCTTACAACACGTGCAGATAAGCACTACTTTCATAACTAACTCTGCAAAGGCTACTTTCCCTTTCTACTTCCTTGCTCTTCCCACCTGAATTCCTCCAACCTGATGCACTGACATGCAGATCCTCAACCTAAGGTAAACTGTTGAAATGGGAACTCACCATGAAGCTAAAAAACCAAAATCAAACAAGAAAGCATATTAAACCCATAGAAAACGAAATACAGTGGCAAACTACCACTTACACTGTAAGGGATTAGAAATCAAATTATGATCATCAGTTCAAGCAGCAAAGAGCAATACCAACAGGACATGGTCTGATTACCTAAAATTACAGAAAAGCTTCTTAGCTTTGACCTATAGCTGGATGGACCCTTCTTCATCAAAAAGCAAAGCACTCTGAAGCGCAGAAGTAGGTGGATGCTTAAGCCTACATGTGTTTTAAATAAAGAAGGCCTCAATATTATTTCAATCAGGAAATATGCTTATAGACATCCACTTATCATACTTTCTGAAAAAATCCTATACCATTTCTCACCCCATAAAGAACAATCCAATTCTCCCTGTAGAAAGCAGAAACGTGGAACGTATATGCTTGAACACTTCAACAGTGAGTGCTGTAATTAAGCCTGCCTCTTCATGAAAGATCATCAAAGGGTGACAGGGGAAAAAAGAGTAAGCCTCGGGGGCACAGAGTTCTTCTGTGATCTTCCTTCACTGGGATCCCTCCCACATCAATCTGGGAGGAAACTGCACCCTACTTCATAGAAAAAGCAGTACCAAACCCAAAGTCTGTTGCAGTGGAAAGAAAGCCATCATCTAGCTAGAGAGCTATCTCACCATCTAGGACCTGTGTTTATGCAAGACAGATGCACCCCCATTCAAGGAGAGGATAATACCTAGTGCATCACTTTGCCATGGGTCTTCAAGGGCAACTGCTGAAATATTCAACCTGTACCTAATAACCTAAGCACAAGTCTCTGAATTCTGAAAATTACCAGTAGTTTTGACTAGCCTCTTTCTGCCATACACCAGCTGTCTGCAACTAGCCCTCCCACATGCTGGCTAGTCAGTCATGATCTCATGCCATACTTCAGCTGGATCTGTGTTAACATCCTTTCCATATTCTGCAACTCCCACCTCCTTCACTGCGGTTCTCTGAAGCAAAAACTGCCTACTTCTCTGTTCAATAGCCTCCATTTTTAATTACCATGCTTTGGACTGTCATAATCCATACAAATTAATCTTAGAGCTTTACTCAAGTCTGTCCAATCGTTCCCCCTGAACTGCATGTTGTTATTGCAACATGTCAGGGCTACTCGATGATCAGAAGTAAGATTTGTGTCAGGTTTTTTGTACACTTTACATAGTCAATCACAGTATTTTTGTATTAGATTGTTTTGCCATTAGTTATTTTTCTGTACTGTGGATTCTCCTCAACATGTCAGCTACTGTGGTGCTACACTACTGCACATATTCAGAACAAAATTTTAGGGAAAACTGAAACCCACTTCCTTTCAAATAATGGCTGATAACTGAAGCCAGCGCCCTCTCACTTTCCGGGCCTCCATTATGGTCAAGTCACTAGGAAGTCATTTCCCTAAAAGCTGCAGCTCTTTTGTCAACATAATGCCTTAACTGCAAACAAGTTTGGTAAGTCGTGTTGCCAGTTTCCATGAGGTTTAAGAATGCAAAGCCTACAGCAACATTCCTAAGCGCCTGTATTTTGAATACCAAGAATGAACAAATTTTGAAATCTAGTTCTTAATTTGTAATAAGTACTGTAGAAAATAGACAACAGAGAAATCCTGGGGAGCCAGAAATGGACCTCCTGCATGATGTAGAGAGGCAGCAAGGAGACTGCCAGCATCACAGCAAGTTCTGTATAGCATTGCAGCTAATAAATAGGAATGGCCGAAGGCTAGATGAACTTTGACCCCTCAAATTTCCCACATCCAAAAATGCATAGGTTGTCACTTCATTTTGTTACTCAGTAAACAAGAGAGATGGTTACAATCAAGGTGTGCTACAAGTCAAAGCAGAACATGAATACAGCACATCATGTTTTCATTCTGAAGCATTCACCATTTTATTCCATGACTACACTTTTGTGTACCAAACACACTGTTGTTGTGATGGAAAGCCAGTCATTTTCTCCTCAGCAGTCAGGGAGCTGGCTCAGTACATTTCCAGCCACCTTGTATATTCCCAGGCTTTATACCTGCTCTAAGCCTACCACATGATCTCACTCCTCCTAGGTTAACTGAAGAGATCACCTTATGTTAGAAAAGCAGCAGCTGAGGAAAGAACAGGTATATTTAAACGATGTGCATGCAGTGGGAAATGATAAACTGTACCGTCTACAAGATAATACCTCTCTATTTTAAAAAGGAGAAAAGAGAGTATGGGTGGGTGGGGGGAAAGGAAAAAAATGAAGATATTTCTAAATTAAAATATTGATAGAGACTTTTTTTTTTTTCCAGTGGTGCTCATATTTCTTAGGAGCACAGATTGCAGTAGAGAGGAAAAAACCCAAAACCATACAACTCCATTCACATACCAGCTAGACTTTAAAAACTGTCATAGTATGTGGTGCCTTACTATAAAATACATTAGTAGGAAGATTATTCAAGAGAAAAGATTGGCTTTTATCTTGCCGTTTTAAAAATTTAGTATGAAAAAGTGAACACATTTAGCAAGCTGATGTAATGTAAAAATGTAAATACTTACTGCGTAGGAGCCTATGAGGAATGCAGCATTTGCTTGTTTTTTCTGATCAAAGCCAGTATAATGAACTATTTTCTTCCTTATCAATGAAAATGACTGTATCAAGAAATGAACAAGATTATGATTTTGCATTTTAGACTTTTCATGCCTTCTTTTATAAAATTAGAGGAATGCAGGGGTCTGTTCACCTACTTTCAGCCACCTGTATTCAGAGGACCAACTATACTGTGGACTAGTCCCTCAAAAGCTTTGGTAAGACTACTGCATCCCTACCTATATTGCTCCAGTATTTTTCCCAGTATCCAGACGAAATAATTTTTGACACAAATTACAATAATTGTTTTCTCCTTAAATGCATTTAGTATTTCTGACGTGAAGCCCTATGTAGCAGATAGAGATTTATAAGAAGTAAATACACAGTGGCATTCTCAAAAACATTGCAGGCATCTTGAAGTCACAATATATTTGAAAACAGAATTTAGACTTTTTTTATTCTTAAAGAAAACCTAACTAGATAAATTAACTAGTAGTTGTTTCTAAAGATCAGAACCACTGGAAAAATATGTGCTTAGATTAAATTATTTTGAAAGTATTTCTAAACTTTATCATAAATAACCTTTTAAAATTTAATCACGTCTTGGCATATAGTTTCTCTAGTTATCTTAGAAAAGGGGTAGAATGGCATTGCCAATAGAAAGGATGTATCTGTGGTAGCAGCAAAAATTATCCCCTAGCTGGTCCTTGGAAGAAATTTTGATGTGCTTGAAACTGTATACTTTGATCAATTGCTAAACTATCATAAAATGTCACTATTTAAATAGTAATGTTACTTGCTCAGATACTATTCCATGTGCACAAGACAAACCAACCTCAGGTTACTAGCAGTAGTATGTTCTCAGCAATCCTAACATGCCTCTCCAGTATCAAACCCAAGATATTAAAAGGGATTATAATATAGACTTGTGCTGCTTCAGAGCACCATGTAAACAACAAAATTGGAGAATGTCATCTCCAGCAAACCTGTTCATAGTGCCACAGGGACAAGGGACAAAGCAAGTCTGAATTATGAAAACTAATACCACTGACAGACATCAAGGAATGAGAAAAAAAGATCTCTGTTAAAATATAATTCTCTGCATACTTCCCAGTTTTCACAGTTCAGTGGCAGTTTCAAGATCTAAGCAATTTTGAACAGGCAAACTGTGATTCACATTAATGCTAATAAGCTTTTTTATCTGACTAATATGTTTTATACTCCAACATCTGTTAGAGGTCAACTAACTTGGAAGTCATTCATGTTAATTAATATAGGAATTCTGTTTTAAAGACACTATGCTCTATCACAATCCCAATCCTGAAAATTGCCAAACACCTCTCAGAGAAGATAATCTGCAGTAGGAGCATGGCAGTCTCCCTCAGGACAGTGCCATAAACACTATCAAAGATCAAATGTTGCATCTTACCAAGGAGATGTCAGGACCAGATGAAAAGCCCAAGTCAAACAAAAACCACCTCAAATAAAAATGTGTTGCATTGCACCCTCAAGAGCACTCAACACTGTCAGATTGCCAAAAAGATGGAATTCCAAGAGGGAAGCTTTTTATTTAAGGAAGTCTGTACCCATTTAGCAACTGATCGTTTAGGAGCTTAATATTTCTTACTGACATAGCGGTACATCTTCTATGTCTTAAAAGTAAGTGAGGTTTCCCTCCCGATCCTTCTTCTCCCTAAATTCACTTCAACAAAATTTAGCAATTATATTCAAAACTTAGCTGGATTTGGAACCCAGGAAAACACCTGAACAAAGAAAAACTTTTGTTCCATTTGTATTTGTTCTTCAAAAAGTCAATAATATTGAAAACAAGCACAAGTGTTACCTTTAATTTCTTATTCAGCTTGCAGCAGTATCTGTAGACCATTGCCAGATTAAGTGGTCCAAAGTCTGCATAAAAGCTGGTGGGAGAAACAGAAAAAATTGTACATGATCTCTGCAAGTGCTGCTTTTTTTTTGTCTTGTCATCAGATGAACAAAGCAAGGAGTAATAATATATATGTGATATACGAGCATCATTCTAAAAACATGAATGTCTTCTTATATACATACTATTTTATTAAACAGTTTTCTCATTTTTAAACAAGGACTAAAACTTTTTGTTTGTTTGTTTTCCACACAACTTCACTCAAAACTAAACTGGAATACTCAAGGTTCGAAAAATTCTCACTATTGTATCACTCTATGACACCAGTTTAGAAACGGTACTTTAAGAACCCAAAAGCTTTACTTCAAAGGAAGGAAATTAGTATTGCTAGATAAAAGTGAACACAGAGAAGAAAGATTGATTAGTACTTTCAAAAACAGTAAGCACGCCCTTGGTCAAAAATATTTAAGGAATTAGCAGCATTCCAGATGACATACAAAGGCATACATTGTTCGCTACAGAGGAAATAATATATCCATTGTCAGTTCATAAAGGCTTGAATTGATTTTGCCAGTTTTTCTCTT